TAGGTGTTTTTTTCCGATATATATTTCATATCTAGGTGTTGTTTTCCGATATATATATTTCATATCTAGGTGTTGTTTTCCGATATATATATTTCATATCTAGGTGTTGTTTTCCGATATATATATTTCATATCTAGGTGTTGTTTTCCGATATATATATTTCATATCTAGGTGTTGTTTTCCGATATATATTTCATATCTAGGTGTTGTTTTCCAATATATATATGATTAGCAAACTACTTCTGTTTTGAAAGATAGATGAATGTATTTTTTAACCGACATTTTTCGATTCCTTAGGATCTTGGCGGAGTTTCAGACCCGGAAAGCTTACCGTATTTGTGTAAGGAATCGAGACTTGTTCAAATATCTGCTGGCAATTGTTCTGTTTGTTGTTGGCTACATGTCAGCTTGGACAGCTGTCGTGGTAGATAGCACCGCCGAAGGTCTCAACGTCCTGGAGAAACGCAACACTGTGGAGGGACTGATCTTTTTCACTTGCAGATCACTCTGGTGGGATTACGTTACTGAACTAGGCAAGTCAGACTGGTATTGAAATACATTCATTTGGAATTCGCCTGCTTTTAAATATCTTTAGATACGTTTATTCCGCCGTTCCTGGTGTACACTTGTCAACTTATGGTTGTCTCAAACGAAAGTTGTTTTTTCTTGTTTTTTTTTTATAAGGTTTGTCACACAAATTAGCATGAACGTCAGTAGGGACTGAATAACAAATCTTGTTCACACTTACAACCAACGCTGACAAACTGAAACTTAACTAAGCCTCGCTCTCCAAGTAGGCTTGGCTCAGTACGCCCAACTCTATCTTAAGATCGGAGAAGGCTTAGCGCTGTTGAAAGGATTTCGTGATAAGCGCGATCTCTATTATTAGGTTATTTCAAACGAATTGCGATGGTTTCTTTTATTATGTAAATATGATATTCTTCAGATGTGTCCTTAAACCATTCAGAAGCTTAATTTACATTTGAATAGATTTCAAGTTAAATAATGTCGTCCATTCAAGTTAACCTCTGTTGAAAAGTAAAGGTCAGAAAAATTTCATCAAATTAAGAATTATTCTAAAAACATTTTCGTGTCTATTTATATATTTCAGAGATGGAAAGAGATAATCAACTCTTGTTCTTAACCAATTGATTATGTGGTATTCTCAGATAAACTGTTTTCTGCACAAGTATCGGATAGGTAGGATTAACAACAGGAGAATCAAGCAGGAAAATTGTGAAGTAAACCTGAATTTAGCTAAAAGACCGAGTCTTGAGCTAAGAAATAAACATATTTTACCTGTGATGTAAAATGAAAAGCCATTAGTTGCAAAGCAAAAACTAAACACAGTGTGCATAATTGCGTAGATGCTGGGACAGTCACTTTCCTACTGCATCAGTAAATCATCAACAGTTGATGCTCGCAAGATGACCTTCCGTTGATCAGCTCACTCCTGGAACCAAGTAGGACTAAATGTAGCTCTGTTCTGACTAAACCCGACACCCTGTTCAAAAAGGTAATCTTGTTGTTGTTGTTTTTTTCCGAAAAATTATATATACGTTACGATATGAATGGTTATTCTCGTACAACAAAGGCTGTAACATCTAGATATCATCCACTCGGCCAGCGAAGGACAATGCATTCAACGACTTATTTCGACACAGTGTGAAGTTGCAGCAACATTCCCCTGGACAAAGTATATTCTACCTGCTAGAGAACAATAAAGTCACAAAAACAACTAGAAAACAATATCAATGGTTTTTTGAACCACGTGTTTATGCCACAACTCCACAGAAACAGACTAAACGAAAACGTTTATAAATTCCTATGTTAATAAAAGTAAATAGAAAACATGTGACATACCTGCATATTAAAGTTGTATAGTTTGTCCTTAATCCTTCGTAATCATGACATTGCTTTCATTATCGGTCTGCCTACCTCTATTTCTGAGAGTGTATCTGCCTTCTTGTCTGTCTATTTATCTATGTGTGAATGCATTCTTATCTATCTATTCAATTCCTCTAAAAACACACTGTCTTCGACATTAAAAGTCATGTGTGTATTGATCCTTCATATGTTGTTTGAATCACTAAATTTTTCTATTTTTTCATTATGCTCTTGCTGCTGAATTACATTCTTAGAACAAACAATGTATGTGAAGCTACCTAGCGGTGTTATTCTCCTCAGATATTGTGTGTGTGTGGAGCTACCTAGCGGTGTTATTCTCCTCAGATATTGTGTGTGTGTGGAGCTACCCAGCGGTGTTATTCTCCTCAGATATTGTGTGTGTGTGTGGAGCTGCCAAGCAGTGCTATGCTTCTTAAGTACTGTGTGTGTGTGTGGAGCTGCCAAGCAGTGCCATGCTTCTTAAGTATTGTGCGTGTGGAGCTGCCAAGGATTGTTATTTTCTTTAGATATTGTGTATGTGTGGAGCTACCAAGCGTTGTTATTCTCTTTATGTGCTGTTTGTGGAGTTATCCAGCGGTATTATTCTCTTGAACAAGTATAAGTACTCACCTTTGTTAAGATCTGGCCTCACAGTGTACGGAATGGAGTATTAAGACTTCAAGTAAGCAATATCTCGTCATGCTCTAATCAAATTGAGCTGCAAAGAAACATAAAATAATGGAACTTCATACTGACTTCCACAAAGAGAAGCGATACTCCATTTAGAATTCGAAAAACAATAGGTGCTAATTTCTGGTGAGTATTACCAGAAGTTCTCACTTGCTTCTACTCCAGACTGCATTAGTATTTACAGATGTTGTTTACAGAGTTATCCACGAATACAGAAGGGCAACTTCGGTAGCTCATTTAAATTTCCTGCATATGCAACAGTTTATAAAAGTCCTATGTTCGTGTATTTGTAAGTTGTGTAAATTTTAATACGAATATAGTCTTAACTGATCTCGTTAAAAATACTCTTTTACATTCTAATGGTCGTTAAGACAATCAACTTTAAAATTCGAAGGCTAAATCGTTCGAGAAAATTCAATTAAATAAAGGAGAAAAGTGCCAGTAATTTAGAATTGAGTCTGTTGAGTTTAGATATCTCCTACATTACAAAATAGCCTAATGTTTCTGTCAGGCGACCCAAAAGTAGTGTCATGCGCAATAGCGGTCTTAGTGGACGCCAGTCATGCACACAAAGACAATCATATCAAAGTCTACTAATGAATTGCAAACTAGTGGAGGATTTTAGGGGACCTCTCCCCCTCACAAAGAAAATTATATATATAATTAAGGATTAAATTAGACGCCTAACTATTATTTTAATTTATCAAATCTTGTAGCATTCTTGCAAGAGATAGAAACGATGAATGCATCTTTATTTTAAATGTTATTTTTAACTCACTAGTACGAAGCTCTCAAGTCCAGCACTCTTTACGTAAAGAATTCTCCAGACAGAAATTTGTTACATGAAGTTTCAGAACTTCAGGAAACTGGAGATCAAAGTTTGATCAACGTGACATCTTAAAAGATTAAGGACTTGCCGTGGGCTGTCTTACGTAAAGCTACCTGAATAATGGTCTAAGAATGCTGTGTTGCAGAGAACGTTTATTATAAACCAGACAGCCTAACTTTTGAAACTTCAGCTGTTCTTTGTATTTGAACTTTAAGAAAAGATTTTCAACCACGGATAAGCCATGTTCTGATATCGTGTAGAAAAAAAAAATGAGGGAGGTATTTTATTTGTTAGTAATATTGAAGCAAAATGTTAATAAATAAATAAAAATAAAACAACCGTGGTTAACTGAGACAGTTTTAAATTCTGTTATATAGATGATTCATTTCTTTTCGTTAAAAACACGCATAATAAAATGTTTAGAAGCGAAAAACTTTGGCAACAAATTCAGTGTCTCAATAAGCACATCGAGAACAAATCGGTGAAGAGGAAGAGCAAAACGATCAGATGTGTGGGGATGTAGAAAAAAAAGGGGGATCTGATCAGTGAGAAGGAAGAGTAAAACGATCAGATGTATCGGGATGTAGAAAAAAAGGGGGATCTGATCAGTGAGAAGGAAGAGTAAAACGATCAGATGTATCGGGATGTAGAAAAAAGAGGAATCTGATCAGTGAGAAGGAAGAGTAAAACGATCAGATGTGTCGGGATGTAGAAAAAAGATGAATCTGATCAGTGAGAAGGAAGAATGAAGCAATCAGATGTATGGGGATGTAGATAAAAGGGGGATCTGATCAGTGAGACGGAAGAGTTAAACTATCACATGTATGGAGATGTAGAAAAATTAGGAGATCTGATCAGTGAGACGGAAGAGTTAAACTATCACATGTATGGGGATGTAGAAAAATTAGGAGATCTGATCAGTGAGACGGAAGAGTTAAACTATCACATGTATGGGGATGTAGAAAAATTAGGAGATCTGATCAGTGAGACGGAAGAGTTAAACTATCACATGTATGGGGATGTAGAAAAATTAGGAGATCTGATCAGGGAGAAGGAAGAGTAAAACGATCAGGTGTGTAGGGGTGTAGAAAAAAAGAGGAACGAATCAATGAGGAGAAAGAGCAAAAAAGATCAGATCTGCGGAGATACAGAAGGGTCTTGGTAAGACGTTAAAACATGGGGAGTTGTACAAAACGAGTGCTATCCTCAAAATTATTGAGGGGGGGGGGCGTCCGTATGTTTTAAACCCCGTTTTTAAAATCGTTTAGGCACCAACTTTCTTCTTAGTTGCTGACTGTTTTTAATTAGAGGGTCCTCAGTAACAAAAATAAACAAATAAAAATACCATCATCATTGCAGTTAATCCGATTAATTAACATTTACGTAATATTTTTTTTTATGTTGAATATTTCAATCAGCAATAAACATAATACTACTCAATACAATGCAATATATATGGACACCACTGGTAGTGACCAGTATAAAAACAAGTCGATAATTTGAGAAACATTAATGGGTAGAAAAAAAATGAGATCTTTGACTAAATAAACAGGAAAGCCGGGAAGTAAAACGAAAAGTTCATTGAAGAGGTGTGAATGCATAAGATCCAAAAGGAAACAAGATAAACGAACACTGTTACTTTTAATAACTGTAGAACATCTAGTCGGAAACATCGCTAACAACGAGAGTATCAGACTGATGACGTAGTCAAAGAAACATTTGTAGTTTGCCCGTTACTAATAGTTAAGACTATTTGATATTAATTGTAATTAATATCTTTAAAATTTTAATAACTCTTCTTGTAGACGATATAACATAATTTCGTACACAATTAACCTCAAAATAAATAGACTGTAACCTCATAATTCATACTCCAATAAAATTAAAATTGAGTCGAGTAAAATTGCCGGATGACTAAAGTGTGAATTTCAACCCAATTGAGATTCCTCCTGGCGACTGATGTGTGAACTCCATTTCCTAAGTAAGATCTTCCTAGTAATAAATCTGTGAACTTCGCTCCATAATAGCGTTCCTCCTGTCAACTAATGTGTAAACTTCAAACTAAATGGGGTTCCTCCTACCAACTAACTTGTAAATTCCACTCCCTAAAAAGGTTCCTCCACTACTGTGTGAACTCCATCCCCTAAAATAGGTTCCTCCTAGTAAAAACGTAATTAGATTCCCTAATGAGATTCCTTTTGGTGACTGACGTGTCAATTCCACTTCCTAATGAAATTCCTCCTGGCGACTAACGTGTGAACTTCACTCCAAATAGGGTTCCTTTCGGCGATTAACGTGTCAACTCCAATTCCTAATAAATTTCTTTTTAGGTGACTAATATGTGCACTTCTTCCCAAATGAGGCTCCGTCTGGTGACAAATTTGTGAGCTACACTCCTTAATAGAAATATTCGTGTCACTAATATTAGGTCAATTGGTTTCATTACTTCGTCATATTTCAGCATTTAAGGCTTTAACATTAAAGTTGTTTGTATATATTTAAACAAACAAAAAATTGAATAATTATTTAATAGTTTTAGTCTAAAGTAAAACTACTTGGGAAAATTTTCCAAATCGTGTGCCGTATATCCAAGGGATTGTGTTTCAATTAAAACACTACAACTGAGCAGCCAGTAAACCCGCGCTTTCTCTGGGACGAAAAATAAACAATAATTAATTGGATTTCTAACGGCCAAATTGAAATTCCGTTTCGTTAAAAAACAAAAAAGGAAATAAAAATCATGCCTCACGAGACAACGATTTCATCAGGAAGTTTATATACTGGTTTTTTTCACTTCGTAGAAGGTTGAAGTCGCATACTGATAATACGTTTATCTGTTCTTTCTTTATACTGAATTATTTGATCCTAAGCCTTATCAGACACGTAACGGACAAATTTTAAATGGATTAATAAAGTTCGTGGGTTATTGAAAAAAAAAGGGGAAGAAATTATTTTATTTTAGGACGTAAATAGATTGATATCACTTTCAGTTATGTGGGGGGGGAGGTGGTAATTAATTTTTGTAATTAAGGAGCTTTAAGAAACGAAACTGGCAGTAGCCTAAATTTATGTCCGTTATCACCACAAGAATCTTGGGTGATCGTTCAACTTCGTGATAACTGTTGCTTTTTTTAACCAATAACTGTTTTACCACTTATATAACTTTAACTCGTACAACTTCAGTATAACGTGAAACTGTTAGTTTCATTGACCAGTAAATGCTAGACAGCTCATACAAATTGTTGGTGTTCCATAGCAGAAATGATGATATAATTAAGTCGACAGAGAAAGGTACAACCGGGCAACATTGCCTTCTCTATATTTCATTACTATCAGGTTAGATAATTCCATCTATAATTAAGTCGACAGAGAAAGGTACAACTGGGCAACATTCGTTGCTATCAGGTTAGATAATTCCATCTATAATTAAGTCGACAGAGAAAGATACAACTGGGCAACATTCGTTACTATCAGGTTAGATAATTCCATCTATAATTAAGTCGACAGAGAAAGATACAACCGGGCAACATTCATTACTATCGGGTTATATAATTCCATCTATAATTAAGTCGACAGAGAAAGGTACAACTGGGCAACATTCATTATTATCAGGTTAGATAATTCCATCTTGTTTCTTAGAATGTTATTTTATGTCATATATTTCTTAGCCTATCGTCCAAGGATAAAGAAGTAAAACGTCATTGTTTATTAACATCTTGCATTTTGTTGAGGAACCTGAAATGTTAATGTATTTAATGAATTTCTCAATTAAGCCGATCAAACGAATTAATCTCTATAGTTTACGAATATGATATTTATATAAACATATAAATACTTGTGTCAGATGTATGAATTATCTTTCATTGGTGAAATTATTTTACAGAAATTACGTATTTTCTACTGACAGGTGAGCCTGCCATCATTACTTTCAACGTATTTGTTTCTGTCAGGTGAGCCTACCATCATTACTTTCAAGGTGTTTTCTTCTGACAGGTGAGCCTACCATCATTACTTTCAACGTATTTGTTTTTGTCAGGTGAGCCTACCATGATTACTTTCAACGTATTTTCTTCTGACAGGTGAGCCTACCATCATTACTTTCAACGTATTTGTTTCTGTCAGGTGAGCCTACCATCATTACTTTCAATGTGTTTTCTTCTGACAGGTGAGCCTACCATCATTACTTTAACGTGTTTTCTTCTGACAGGTGAGCCTACCATCATTTCTTTCCACGTATTTTCTTCTGACAAGTGAGCCTACCATCATTACTTTTAACGTATTTTCTTCTGACAGGTGAGCCTACCATCATTACTTTTAACGTGTTTTTTTATGACAGGTGAGCCTACCATCATTACTTTCAACGTATTTTCTTATGACAGGTGAGCTTAATTGACGTGTTTAACAAGTTTTATTCCGATAGATAAGCTTGGCTTCACGTCCTTAATATGTTTTCTTCCGATAGATAAGCTTGGCTTCACGTCCTTAATATGTTTTCTTCCGATAGATAAGCTTGGCTTCACGTCCTTAATATGTTTTCTTCCGATAGGCGAGCTTGGCTTCATGTTTTTCGGCATCTATTTAACCTATCGCATCAGGAACGCAAAAACGGATTATTTTCGAGAGAAAACCGTGCTTTGTGCTGCCATCTATATCGAAGTGATTGTCTCTTTTATAATACACGCAATCAGGTAAGCAAAATTGTTTTACTTTTAATAGAATGGGAACTTTAATCCAAAACGTTCTCCCTCTAGATGACATTCAACGTAAGCTTTTTTGTTCTTTTCAATAGTAGAAGATCAGTCGGTACGTTTCGGTGGTTTTGTTTTCAGAACCAAATTAAAATTTTCATCGTCACATCCACTCAGTTCATTATTTTATTTCACCCTCTGGTGGTACAAACAGAATTGTACGCTTCGTAAGCTTAATAAATTATGGTACGTTCTCCGTGTTTCTTAACAAAGTGTAACAGAATGTATAGTTAATTGAAACTGTTTTATAATTTTCATCAACGACACCAATTTGTTCTTTTTCTAAAATTGTGGATTAATTTGAGAACATCTCTGTTAATGAGTAATGATTTTCTTCTCGTGATAACATACGAATCTCTTGTTCGATGACGGCTGAAACCTCCGCTGTAACAAATCAACCACATACCAAGATATAAAGCGCGTGAGGTTTATGATATACACGTGACTTGCGAGATTTGATTTATAATTTGTGTTCTTTTGTGATATTTCAAAAGTCTTGCGTTCTCTTCTATCAATTCAAAACCGTTACCCATTTCATGTATTGATTGGCGTATTTAATGTCCAATAGGGAAAAACTTTACACTTTCATGGATCGCGGTAACTTTACCCATTTCATGTATTGACTGGCTTATTTAATATCCAATAGGGAAAACTTTACACTTTCATGGATCGCGGTAACTTTACCCATTTCATGTATTGATTGGCTTATTTAATATCCAATAGGGAAAAACTTTACACTTTCATGGATCGCGGTAACTTCTAGTTACATACCGCACCCACGGTATCGTGTTCTGAACATAATATGACTAAAGAACTAGAAGATATTCTGTTCCTAACTTAATGTGACTAAACACGATTACTACACCTACATGTTATTACGTTCTCAAAGTAATGTGACTAAACACGATTACTACACCTACATGTTATTACGTTCTCAACTTAATGTGACCAAACACGCTTACTACACCTACATGTTATTACGTTCTCAAAGTAATGTGACCAAACACGCTTACTACACCTACATGTTATTACGTTCTCAACTTAATGTGACCAAACACGCTTACTACACCTACATGTTATTACGTTCTCAAAGTAATGTGACCAAACACGCTTACTACACCTACATGTTATTACGTTCTCAAAGTAATGTGACTAAACATGCTTACTACACCTACATGTTATTACGTTCTCAAAGTAATGTGACCAAACACGCTTACTACACCTACATGTTATTACGTTCTCAAAGTAATGTGACCAAACACGCTTACTACACCTACACGTTCTTATGTTCTCAACCTAATGTCACTAAACACGCTTACTACACCTACATGTTATTATTTCTCAACTTAATGTGACTAAACACGCTTACTACACCTACACGTTATTATTTCTCAACGTAATGTGACTAAACACGCTTACTACACCTACATGTTATTACGTTCTCAAAGTAATGTGACCAAACACGCTTACTACACCTACATGTTATTACGTTCTCAAAGTAATATGACCAAACACGTTTACTACATCTACACATTATTATATTCTCAACGTAATGTGACTAAACACGCTTACTACACCTATACGGTATTATGTTCTCATCGTAATGTGACTAAACACGCTTACTACACCTACACGTTCTTATGTTCTCAACCTAATGTCACTAAACACGCTTACTACACCTACACGTTATTAATTCTCAACGTAATGTGACAAAACACGCTTACTACACCTATACGTTATTATGTTCTCATCTTAATGTGACTAAACACGCTTACTACACCTACACGTTATTAATTCTCAACGTAATGTGACAAAACACGCTTACTACACCTATACGTTATTATGTTCTCAACTTAATATGACTAAACACGCTTAGTACACCTACACGTTATTAATTCTCAACGTAATGTGACAAAACACGCTTACTACACCTATACGTTATTATGTTCTCAACTTAATATGACTAAACACGCTTACTACACCTACACGTTACTGTGTTCTCAACGTAATGTGACTAAAGACGCTTACTACATCCACACGTTATTAATTCTCAACGTAATGTGACTAATTACGCTTACTACACCTACACCTTATTATGTTCTCAACTTAATGTGACTAAAAACGCTTACTACACGTTATTATGTTCTCAACTTAATGTGACTAAAAACGCTTACTACACCTACACGTTATTATGTTCTCAACGTAATGTGACTAAACACGTTTACTACAACTACACGTTATTATTTCTCAACGTATTGTGACTAAACACGCTTGCTACACCTACACGTTATTGTGTTCTCAACGGAATTGACTAAACACGTTTACTACACCTACACGTTATTATGTTCTCAACGTAATGTGACTAAACACGCTTACTACACCTACACGTTATTATTTCTCAACTTAATGTGACTAAACACGTTTACTATAACTACACGTTATTATTTCTCAACGTATTGTGACTAAAGACACTTACTACACCCGCACGTTATTGTGTTCTCAACGTAATGTGACTAAACACGCTTACTACAACTACACGTTATTATTTCTCAACGTATTGTAACTAAACACGCTTGCTACACCTACACGTTATTATTTTTCAACTTAATGTGACTAAAGACACTTACTACACCCGCACGTTATTGTGTTCTCGACGTACATGTTCTGATTTTCTTTTCTTCCAGGCACTCAATGAGATTCTCCTTGGGCCCAGATTTTATATACTTTCTGTTCTTCATCCGATGCCAACTGACGGTTTCTGGTATTCTAATTGTAATCTTTGGTCCAAAGGTAAAATTTAACGTTCTTTGTCTGACTTGTTACGTCTCGTTCATTACAGTAACAATAAAACGCTTATATGTATTTATTAAGCTTACCATCTGCTAAACTGTTGACCCTACTCTGTCACACGAGAATCTTTTCTCGAGATGGCTGATGTAACACAAGATCACAAGATTGTTTACAAGCTTTCTGCTATAGTTACGGCTGTTTGGTATTCTCAGATACACTTATAACCTGACAGGTGTGAACAGTGACTGTTATAACTAGAGAACATTATGTAGAATTTCATACCTGGTTGATTTGAAAGAAGAGACTGGGTTTAATTTGGCAGTGAAAAAAAAAAAGTAACTCTTTAGGAAACAGGAGACAAACATACTAAATTTAATACGCCATCTTTACACAAAATGAAAGCAATGCTGTTTACCGGAAACTGGTGAGAGATTTCTACCAGCCAATATCCGGGTTTTGACTGAGAGAGTTAATTAACAACTGTATAGAAAGTAAAATAGGTCATTCCATCTAGAGTTCAAGCAATGCGTCTACGTCGCTTTTTATTATCTCATATAAAAAATAGAGAGAATTTAACCTCCAGGTATCGCTAACTCCTCACACTGTTGACTTTGATATAAAGACTTCCTTACAAACTAAAGTACGTAGTTCTATAATGACGTCTTTCTTGGAAACATCTGAGGAGATTAAAGGGAAATAATCTAAGACAGTGTGTAACTAGAACACTAACAAGTTAGACTCGTACTTCTTTCCTGTTAAGCCTACAGTAACGCTTAATCGCGCGTACGATTTGGGGAAAACTTTGAAAACGTTCAGTGAATATAAAAGGAAAGCAAAAGCAGCATCTGGTATGTCACAGCTGCATCATTTGCCTCTTTTAAACTTGTTAGCATGCTTATTAAAAAAAAAAAGAGGTCATACTTGAAAACAGCTGAAGTACCATATGAATTTAAAAGTCCTAGATGTAATTCTCAGTATGTAGGCTAGACCACCAGATGGCTAGAAATACGCATAAAACCATAAAAGGTTAGTGATTAATGATCATGAATCGAGCATACGGGACCATGTGCTAGGCTAGTGTGATTTAGCTATACATCACAGTTTGTTTAAGATTCTCGCTAGAAGGCGAGATTATAAGAGAGATTGATTAACAAACTTAAACTAGAGCAGAACGAAATTGTTGCAAGTTCTTAAAACTGTTATTACTAGGTAGTATTTTCATGCTGGTAATTCACCTACAAACCCTTTATTTTTGCACTTCAACTTATTAAGTTTGCTTCTGAAAGTTGGACCGGGCGTGGACTTGTAGTTGGCGTGTTTTGCTGCGGATAGAAAAAGGTCCAGTGTTCGAGACACGATGCTACTGAATCTGCTATACATTTTCAGCTGTGAGATAGTTATAAAAATGATGCTAATTCCCTCTACTTGGTTTAAAAAGCTGGACAAAGGACCATCTTGTGACGGCAGATACTGCTGGCTAGCTGCTTCCCGTTAGTCAGTAGTTTAAAATTACGGATGGCTGTGTCTGAACTCTAGGGTTTTCTGACCTGGTAATTTAGTTCATTTATGCAAATGTACCACTGAATTTAAAAAATTAGAATTTTAATTTGATCTGAAAGCTTTAGGGCAAATCAGCCTGGTGGTTAGGGGGCGCTCGACTCGCAATCTGTGGATCGCGGCTTCGAATCCCCGTCACACCGAACATGCTCACCCGTTCAGCCGAGGGTCGTTATAAGTGACAGTCAATCCCACTATTCGTTGGTAAAAGAGTTAGCGGTGGGTGATGTTGACTAGCTGCCTTCCCTCTAGTATATCACTGTTAAATAAGGGATGGCTAGCTCAGATAGCCTTCGTGAGCTTTGCGCGAAATTCAAAACCAAACCAAACTTAGGGGCTATTATTTTGAAGTCTGCTTTATGTATGTTCATAAATTTTTTTTACAACTTAATGATCGGTAGTAAACACAAAAAAATGAAAAACTAAAATGAAAGCTTGCTTTCTTTACAGGTAACTTAACAGTTAGAAGTTTCTAACTTACTGTAAATAACTATGGTAGGTAGTTGACTACTAATTAGAAACATATTAGGCATAACGGTATTGGACCAAGTTAGTAGGTAGCATGCTCGAAAATTCAGGGTTCGAAATACATTGCCGTAAAAACGAGCTCATCACTTTGAGACCGTGAGAGCGTCATAAGAGTGACGATCACATCCCACTTTTCGGTCAGATAAGAGTATCACAAAAATTGACGGTGCGTGCTGTTGCCTAGCTACCTAATGTCTAGTCTGTAAGTTCAAAATTAGGGACTATTATGCGCAGATATTGCTTGTGTAGTTTTGAGTGAAATTGTGAAACAAACAAACAAATAGTTTTAACGTTATTAAGCACATAACACTACTTTAGATTATTACGTGTTTGTACATAATAAAACACATTCAAACTTACAGTTAGTGTACAAGCGGCATTGCAAGCGCATTAATCTTACATGTGATAAATGCCATTTCATTATAGCAAATTAAACCAATTGAACTCTAAAAGGACCAGAAGCATGAAATAAATGAAAATTAGAATTCTTTGGGTGGAAGAGTTTATCAGTGTTTTAGTTATCATGGTTCTATCGTGTAATATATATCAAAACATACTCACCAGAAAGAAAGGAAACACATCCAGTCCTTTCTTTCTGGTGACATGTGTGCCAAAAACACATCCAGTCCTTTCTTTCTGGTGTCATGTGTGCCAATAACACATCCAGTCCTTTCTTTCTGGTGTCATGTGTGCCAA